GGCTTCCGAAATACAGGGTGTTTAAATTTACTTTCTAAAATAGTTTTTTTTTAAATATTTCGAACAGTATTTGATATATAACAGTGAAAATTGGTATGCAAGGGTTTTCTGGTACGACAAAACGAACCATGGGCATAGTTTTACTGTAGCCGCTAGAGGGCGCTCTCTACTGTACCTGTAGTGTATTAAAATGACCGAAACATTTTTCTTATTGCAATTTTTTGCTTTTTGAATAAAAAACTGATTCTTCGCACTTTTCAACATAAAAAAGCTCGCTTGTGAATTTTCGTTATAGTTAGCCGTTTTTGAGATATTTCGATTTTTAAGGTTCGATGCATTTTTAATTATTTATGATAAAATAACGTTAAAAAGTCAGTATCTCGATAATTTTTAGAAGTAGGCTGTGCCTGCAAATATTTTTGAAATTGAAAGCAGAATAAGGTTAAACGTCAATTAGTTGACAGTTAGTTTTGTTGTCTGTTGAAACCTGAAACGTTTTTTTGCAATTGTGAATGCACGAAATTTAGTTTCTTTTACCTGTTTTTTTTTTCGTAAGTTTTATAAAAATGCCATTTTTATTCTCCAATCAAGAGTTAGCGGATATTCGTTTTGTGTATGGCTTTGTAAATGGAAATGCAGCAGAAGCAGCCAGAGAATACGCACGAAGATTTCCAAACAGACGCCATCCAACTCGCTCAGTATTTGTAAGAGTGCATCGCCAAATAATTGAAAATGGTTTTGGAAATCTCCAAAGGGATCAAAACATAAATGTTCGTCAGCGCAGATTTACCCGTATGATTCTGCGTGAGTTTGATAGAGATCCGACCACAAGTGTTAGGAGAGTTTCTGGTGCCTTGGGAATTTCAGCAAGCCATGTTAACCGTGTTCTTAGAAATGACCATAGACGTCCTTACCATTTGCAACCTGTGCAAGGACTACAGCCAGGGGACGGATAACGAAGAATCACATTTTGTCAGTGGATTCTTGATAGAACTGATAATAATAGGGAGTTTTTAAGTAACGTTTGATGGACCGATGAGTCATGCTTCACTAGACGTGGAGTGGTAAATTTTCATAATCAACATATTTGGTCGCGTGAAAATCTGCATGCAGTTCGGGAAAGAAATTTTCAGCATGAATTTAGTGTGAACGTGTGGATTGGTATCTACCGTAATCGACAATTTGGACCCTACCTTTTGCCTGCAAGGTTAAATGCTGCGACCTTCTTGGAATTTTTAAAGGCTGAACATGCAAATATGTGGGATGATGTTATGTTAGATTTAAGAAGATTGGCCTGGTTCCAGCTTGATGGTTGTCCAGCTCATTATTCGAGGATAGTTAGAAACTGGCTGGACGAAAATTATCCAGAAAGATGGATCGGCCGTGGAGGACCAGTCGCCTGGCCTCCACGATCCCCTGACCTAAATCCATTAGATTTCTTTGTGTGGGGATTTCTAAAAGAAAAAGTGTACCAGACTCCCGTAACCACAAGAGATATGCTATTAGACAGAATCGGGAATGCATGTGATGAAATAAGGCCTTATTTGAATAATGCTATACCACGTTCGATCATTCGTAGATGTGAATTGTGTATTGAACAATTGGGTTTACATTTCGAGCAACTACTTTAGATTTTGTATGTTTGTCCTAACTATCCAATAGCATTTTAGTTGTAAATAATTAATTTAATTTGTTAAAAATAATATTGGAAAATTAAACAAATTAATATTCTGTTTTTTGTGTTTATTTGGAGTTAGGAATTATTGCTGTGTTTAAAAACACAATCTAAACGATCATCTTAATTACTTGTAATGCCCAAATCGAAAATGTAAAAAAAAATATTATTTTCCCATAAATAATTAAAAATGCTTCGAACCTTAGAAATCGAAATATCTCAAAAACGGCTAACTATAACGAAAACTCACAGGAGAGCTTTTTTATGTTGAAAAGTGCGAAGAATCAGTTTTTTATTCAAAAAGCAAAAAATTGCACTAAGAAAAATTTTTAGGTCATTTTAATACACTACAGGTACAGTAGAGAGCGCCCTCTAGCGGCTACAGTAAAACTATGCCCATGGTTCGTTTTGTCATACCAAAAAACCCTTGTATACTAATATGTTCACTGTTATACATCAAATATTGTTCGAAATATATAAAAAAAACTATTTTATTAACGTAATTGCAGCTCCTGATGATGATGGCAAAGTCCATTGAAAGCTAGAGAGGATAAAAAAAGTATAAAGTCCTCTTTGCTTAAAATTTTTGTCGAAGTACCCAACAAAAGGCGGAAACTTTAATTTTTCACCGAACTGGTCTAGACGACAATGACCACGTCTCAAGTTATATATATATATATATATCATATCCAAGTTGAACCAACATCTTCACAAAATTAGAATACATTTTCTCAGTCACAATTCTTAATATAAACTAACATAACCCATCTTTTCAAGGTTGTATCAATATCAGACATTCGTACACTCATATGAACTACTCACATTTTTCCAAAACAAATTAATTCAGCATTTTAGTAATTTTGGGTGGAGGTTTACCGAGCGTCCCTCGTAAACTTCATAACCAAATTTGGACAAGAAGGTTTACAGTTCCACGGTCCGTCGCGTCAATCACTTGTCATCTGTCGACACTTTGTCTTTCCGTGCCGTCCCCCTCTTCACGTGTAGCGGAAGTAGGAGGTTAGAGACTGCATTCCGATTGTTTCACTAAAATGCCTTCTCACGTGTAATAATTTTTAATTCGTTCGGGTGGATTGATATTTTTAACATGTAACGAAGGTATCTGTCGGTTTCAACAAGCCCCGTCCTTTTGTTTTTATACTGATTACAAGTTCTATCTCCTCTACGTTCGTTTTGAAACATCTTGTGGCTGCAACCTCAACGACGAGTAAGTTGTTTGACAATTTATATCTGTCCTGTTTTCTTTGCTAGCATCACAGTTGTGTTTTCAGAATCCTGATGAAGGCTCCATAGAGAATGCCGAAGGCTTGATTTTATCATCAAAATAGTCAACTTAAGCCTAAAAATTTGCCATTTTCCCAATTAACAATTAATGGTATTTTGTGCCTATTTACATATAGACTTGTAATGTCACGTATTCCTGTTAAGGGGTGATAGACTAGGTCAAAAGCAACCGATTTTTGTCCTATAATGTACTATCCAGAAGTTGACCGTTTTTGAATTATTCGAATTTTATTTTTTTTATTTTTTATTCCGATTTCAGACGGTTAAATTTGAAATACAAAAAAACTACATGTTTGATTTTGAGTTTTTTGTTACCGTCGCATAGCGGACATTCCAATAGTTCATAATAAGTAATAAAATGTTGAAAACTTTTGAAATTACGCTTTTGAAATGTATGATTTTCTTACTTTTTTACTAACTTATTTGATAAAAAATGCAATTTTCTGTAAAAAATCTCCTAGTAACGAAATATGCAAATTATGAAAATAATATCTCTATCTAACAAGCTCTCATTTGAGGTATAAAAGTTACAACTAACTCAAGTACAAAGACATAAAATTAAAAAAAGATGAGTAAAGTTCTAAGAACGATAATTACGTAGGATAAATAAACGGCTTTTATTTTAATTACAGCTTTATTTAATTACATTTCCTTTAGTATTTTACAGATTCTGCTCAAATTATAGTCACCTGTTACGAATATGCCCGCATTCTCTTACGTAATTCACTTTTGGTAGTTGTTAAGCGGCTTTTTATTTGGTCAGCTGCACTGATTATCCTTGTAATTAATTCATCGCGCGTTGGTACGGGCGAAACAACGCACACTAGGCTTTTCATATGTCAGCACGCATAGTAATCCATCGGTGTGAGATCTGGGCTTCTTGCTGGCCAGGCAATGGGCCCGCCTCTGCCAATCCATTGATTTGGAAATTTAGAGTCTAAATACGCCCGTACTAATCTACTGTAGTGTGCGGGACAGCCGTCGTGCTGGAACCTCATATTTTGTCTCGTCGCCAATGGGACGTCTTCCATTAATGGAAACAAGTGATTTTTCAAGAACTCTTCATACACTTCTCCATTTAAATTGGCGGGCAGAAAATGATCTCCAATTAAATATCCATCAATGATGCCCGTCCACACATTGACTGAAAACCGGCTCTGAGACCCCGTCGGTCTTATTTTTCGGGGGTTTAATGCTTCTTTATCAGCCCAGTAATGAGCATTATGGTAGTTAGTGATCCCGTCCTTATCAAACTTCGATTCATCGGTCCACAGAATTTTCTTAAAATGGTCTGGATCTTCTGTATCTGTATGTAACATGTACCTGCAGAAATCTAGTCGTCTTGCAGGATCGCCCTCTTCAATCACATGCACAGGCGTGTAGTGATAAGGGTATAATCTTGCAGTATGCACAGTAAACCATACTTTGTATTGTGATATACCCAACTGAGCAGCCACAATGCGCGTAGGGTCTTCTTCCTGAAACACATCTTCAGGAGGATAGATTCGGGGTTGACCAGCATCACTATGTTGCCTTTGAACACGTCCAGTTTGGCGGATGCGCCGATACATAGAGTCAAACACAGTAACATGAGGTGTTCGGCGATTCGGGAAACGTTGCCGATATTCACGGCGGGCAGCTGCAGAATCGCCGTTACAAAGTCCATAACAGAACATTATGTCTGCGTATTCTTCATTTGTAAAAGTTTGCCCGTGCTCGCTATGGCGAGGTCCTGGCGGATTTCAGTTTTAACCGTCTGAAATCGGAATAAAAAGTAAAAAACTTAAAATTCAAATAACCCAAAAATGGTTAACTTTTGGATAAGACATGATAGGACAAAATCGGAACAGGAATACGTGACATTACAAGTCACCCTGTATATGTAAAAAATTCTTGAATTCTATTAAACGTACGTAGGTGTTTACTTTTCTTTGTCACTCAGCATAAAATCTATGGGAAATCAAAAAAACTTGAATCTGACAGAACAGGTTTTATAATATTGGGACTTCCTCTTTATTTACAGGTCTTCTTCGCTGTCAGAATGACTGAAGCAGTCTCAACTACTAAAAGACTGGTAACCACAAACCACAATAGCGATTGCAATCAGGATAGCCTCATTAACTCAAATATCGTTTCAGGTAAATATGAGAAGTAAATAGTGACACAGATTTGGATGTGATTTAATGAAAAAAATGCAAAGTTACAAGTCAAATCTCAGTAGAATGAAGGAAATGTTAAATTGAATTTGGGCAAAATTTTTAATTAAAGCCCAGTGCAGGCTATCGAAGAAGATCACTAAATTAGGGTTTGACAGTTATTTATCAAGAACCTAAAGAGAGATTTTAATAAAATAATGACAAGTCTTTGGGATAAGAAAATTTAGAGAAGTTTTAGGCTCAGTTACTGAAAAATGTTCTGATAGAGAAGCTGGCAAAAAATATATGGATCCTGAAATTATTCAAAACAGTAGTGTTGTTAACTCGTTTATTACACGTTACTTGTGAATATTGAACTTGATTCCATTACTCGAACGATGCAAATGGCAAACAGTAAGTGTAAGTATTGCTTCATGCGGTAGGTTGTCTCTCTTTCTGGTGGGAAGATTTCTTTCCTGCCAGTGACGTAGGCTTTATGGATTATCAAATAATTATGAATATTAATGAGATTACATAGATTGTAACTCAACTTCACTATTATTGGTTGCAAATCTGTTATAATCGAGTTGCTATCATGCTCCATCTCGAATCCTGATTGCAGTAGATCAACAATATATTTCGTCTAGGTCGTACTTTTTTATATGTTTCTGATAACAAATATTAAGTATGCCATAAAATTGACAGGAATGGCTTAATCTAACTGCAACCACAAATCTATTGGCTATCGTAAGATATTCATAATGTGAAATAATACATGTCATTTTCTCAACAATGATAGAACTGCCAAGCATACAAATATACTCAGTGACGTTAGAAGTGCTACACCCAAAAAATAATTTGCTCAACTTGATTTTTTGACAATGAGGTAGTCTTACATCAAGAACGAAACGATAACATACTCACGAAATTTTATTGACAAGTAATGAGAAAAAAATCAATGTGTTGGCGACCCCCCAGCTGAAAGCACTTCTGTATACGTCTAGTCGTCAAAAAAACGAGATGATCGATGTCCGGTTGTGACACCTCATTCCAAGCAACTCGAACTTCGTGGATTAGCTGTGCCAGAGTCTGTGGCGGATGGTGCAAATTGGATAGACTCCTCCCCATCATATCCCACACATGTTCGATGGGATTTAAATCCGGTGAACAAGGTGGCCTCGGCAAAACATTAACACCTGCTTCTTGAAGAAAATCCGTAGTACGACGAGCAATATGAGGACCTGCGTTGGCTTGTTGGAAAAGTACGTGCGAACGGTACTCTAGATACGGCTGTAAAGTGGTTTGTAGCAGATCATCAACATAACGCGCAGCAGTCATGTTGTCTTGTACAAAGAGAAGGAGAGATCGGATACCATAGGCAATAGCCCCACAAACCGTCAGTCCAACAGTTCTGTGTACATGCCTCTCAACAGCAAATCCAATATCAGGCTGTTCTCCAAGGCGGCGTCCTACCATTCTACGCCCATCGTGCGTACCTAGACAGAATCCCGATTCGTCGCTGAAGATGACATTATGCCATTCTGCCTCCCAATGTTGCCGTTCTCTGCTTCAGTTCAAACGTTCACGACAGTGGTACGCAGACAGAGGAAGCACTAACCGTGGACGGTATGAAAAAAGGCCCTAATGCGGCGATAGAGTGTACGCATAGATCAGGTCTACATTCCTCTCCAAACCATTATTCAGCGATCTGACGTGTAGTAGCAAAACGGTCACGTAGCGCTAGTTGTCTGAAGCGCCTGTCTTGATGGTCTGTCCTACGCTTTGGTGAACCAGGTGGCCTTCTTCGTGTTCCTCTACATTCTTCTATCCACACACGATACACACGCATTACCGTCATTCCAGTACAATTCACGCGGCGGCCAATTTCGCGATGGGACAAACCAACATCTCGATAGGCAATAATTCTACCCCTGTCGCTAACATGGTGATATCTTGAAGGTCTTCGAATTCGAGGCATTCTCTGTGACGCTTAACACTAGTAAATGAAAGGGCAATAACTAAAAATGTCTGTACTACTCACCTATCGGAAACTACTTTCTTCACAAAAACTAAGAGGTACCATTTTAACAAAGGTGAACAAAAACAAAGATAAAACGATAACATTGTTGCCACAGCATGCTTTAAATTATTAAGTTGTTAAAAAAAACAAGTTGAAGAAATTATTTTTTCTGGGTGTAATACTTCTAATATCGTTGAGAATATATGGCGACGGCACATACTTCTGTGGAGCTCAGCTGGACTTAAGCAGGTTAAGAAAACTCTACAGAAAAAATCAAATCGATCTTACTTCCATAGTTTTACAATTTAATCCCTACCATTATTCATTTGTCTGCACAAGAGGCGCATGTTTTAGGAAGGAGCTAGGCTTAGACCACCAAATGTTTGCTTGTTTTTATATGTTAGTTTCCTGAAATGAAATGAGCGACGTTTACCGTCAGGCTTCTGAAATGTCAAAGGAGAACTATAAATATATATATTTTTACTCCCAGACCTTATCGGACCAAATGTTAGATAGGCGCTGTATTTTATTGAAAACTTGGTAACCTTTACTATCGATATTCGGATGTCATTATTCAAGTCAACAGTTTTTTTAAAATTTGTCACATTTGCACACTAGCGATAATCAAGATTTAAACTATACTACAGCGAAATCTACCGCAAAGTATACACCCGGAATCCAATTTACTTCAAGTAAAATAACTTTTACGAAACAACCCACAACAGACGAATCTTCTGTTTTATTGAAGAGGTGAATCTTGTTATCCTCAAAGCAAACCGTCAGTCAGTGCTGCAGATACAAGAAGTTTTATTCAGTTAATAGTATTCCGTTTCGAAAAAGTGCATCATTTTGTATTACAAAGTAGTATGCTATGTCTAGTAGTCCTGTCCTCGTAATTTCAGTTTGGATTTTTAAGTCCTTGAGGAGCATGGAAACATAAAAGTTAAAAATATACTATTCATTGCCCACTGCAGTGAATCCTAAATGTATTACAAAAATTAACGACAATGTGGTCTCTTGACGAACTCATAGAAAAGCTTATTTTTGACACATCTTCACTTTATCCCATCATAAACTCGTATTTTTTCGACCCTGTAAATTGAAATGTACCCTGAACTAATCTAAACATTTTGAGCAGGAAGTTTTTTGACCTGACATGCATAATTAACTCTGCCCTGAAAAGTACCTACCCTCTGATCATAAATCAAATAAAACCAGAAACACGAATGTATTGTCCTGTTGATGAATGTTTGGGCCTAATTTAAAATGAACAGCTTTTCTTAGACATAAAACAATACGTTGATGCTGAAGCTTTTGCGTTACTTCACATTTTTCTTCATTTGGACAATGTTCAATATTGGAAGTGCTAAGAGCATTGCTACGTTTCGTTACTACAATATAGGAGAGGTGAAATATTGTCCGCATTTATAACAATTACTCTCTCTTTCTGTATAATACCCAAGTATTCTACGCCTCCTGAACTCATGGAGGTTGTTCCAGGGGAATAATAACTGTTCCCACACGGTATCTCTTTCTATTGAAGTTCAGCGCGCGTATCGTTTTTTACGATTTTCTCGCCTCGTCTAGCCTGGTAAGATGTCATAAACGTTGGTTCGACCTCCCAATCTATCTCTAATCTCACGTGATATTTTTCAAGATTTCCAATTGTAGTGTGATGCACAGTTTGCTTTATTATTTTTATTTAGGACTATTGAAGAATATTTAACTACGGTGTTTCTTTCAACAACAACAATACGCGATATTGGTCGAACGTGATATAAGGTGAGATTCGACTCAACCACACACTATTCGTCATTGTCTGTCAGAGCGGTCCGTAGGACCTTTGCTCTTGGTTGAAGACTTGTAAGTCAGTAGGTCTGTCAGGTCTGGTTGCCCAGATACCAAACAAGGTCAGCGAGAAAGAAGGGAAGAAGAAAGGAAGGAAGGAAGGAGCGAGAGCAAAGAAAAAAGAATTGCATCAATTTGAGGGGTGCCTTGGCATTGCTAGTTAGTATTCGGCAATTTTAAATTGATCCTAAAATTAATTTTGGGATTGGTTGTTGAAGAAAAATTATAATTTTGGTTGGACCTAAAGTCGCACGATTTAATTTTGTTCACAGTGCGAGTCGCGGCCTTGTGTGCTTGCGAACTTGCTCGACCGTGTAGTCTACTGACCCGCGCAACAAAGGGTTGTTATGCGATTCTGCTTGACTGTAACGTAGCTGCGCTTGTTGTTTGATGTAGTCCCTTAGGTAAGGGATGTCAAGGTCTCTGTGAAGGGTCTCGTTGGAAACATACCATGGGGCGTTAGTGATTGTACGCAAGGTTCTGTTCTGCAAAACCTGCAGGTTACGCAAATGCGTTTTGGCGCACTTGCGTAAGTGATCGCTGGTCTAATAACCATCTTGTATAGCCGAACTTTGTTGATCAAACTTAATTTTGATGTTCTACATAGCATAGGGTAGAGTTGCCGAAACGAGATTTGGAATTTAGTTTTTAACGCTTCAGTGTGCTTCGGCCAGGTTATCCCCTTATCAAGAGTGACACCGAGATACTTAGCAGAGCTTTTCCATGGTACCCGAGCTCCATTCACTGAAACCTCAGACGGGGCGCCCCTAAGTTTTTTAGTACAATAGATTGCCTGCGTTTTCGAATGATTAATTTTGATCAGCCACCGATTCGCCGATTCCAATACCTCGTCCACTGCACTTTGCAGCCTGTCGTGAACTAGATCTCCAGAGCACGACTGGGCCACCAGGGCAGTGTCATCAGCATAGAGATAGGTTTCACAGCTGCTGGGGCAAGGAATGAATAAAAAGTGAATAAAGGACTGGTCCAAGAAACGAACCCTGAGGGACACCGGCTCTGATGGGCCGCGTTGTCGACAGAACGTTATTAACTTTGATCCGAAATGTCCTACCCTCGAGAAAGGATTTCAAAAGTTTTAGGAGCCAGAAGGGGAAGCCCTTATGGATGAATTTGTAGAGAAGGCCCTTGTGACACACCTTGACAAATGCCTTTGACACATCCAGTAGCAAGATGCCAGTACTTTCATTACGGGTGAACCCCCTGGTTACTCGTTCAACAAGCCTTATGACCTGTAGCTCCGTACTATGCTCAGACCGAAAGCCAAATTGCACGTCAGGAATCACATTGTGGTCTGCCGAGAAATTTTCAAGGTGACGTAGAATCACCTTTTCAGCGAGTTTAGAAGGAGCTGACAGTAGACTAATGGGACGGTAATCCTGGGGGAATATCGAACCCACCTTCTTTGGAATCATTATGACATCAGCGGTTTTCCACGCCGTTGGGAAGTGCTGGGTCCTTAGCGTGGCATTGATTATTGCCACGAGATAAGTTAAGGACTTCCGCGAAAGTAGCTTCAGCGCCTGATTAG